AAGATACTTACTTTTGGGTGGGTCCCACTCCCACAGGTTAATGTAGAGCATATTGGTCGATTCTGTGATGAATTTGGGCATGGAAAGTCTGATGATCAGGAGGATGAAGATGAAGATGGTAAAAAATCAAAATCTTGGAAAACATCAAAGCCATCAGATTTTCAAACACTTTTTGGAGGGAATAACAATGATCATTTCATGATTGGCATCAAGTTTACCAAGTAATTTTTTCATGAGTGTCTTGTAATTTTCTCAGTGAATTGTGTTTTAATCAATCATTGACATTTTTGTTTATTTTGTAGGAAGACTATAAAGTTGTATAGTGATTTTTATACATCAGACATGATTGTTGCTTCTCCTCTTGGTTTGATCACAGTGAGTACTACATTTCAAGACTGTTTCTCTTTTTTAATTACTGTTTATTTAATTTTAAATCTAACTAGGGTAATATTTGGGGTGGGGGGTTACTCTGTAAATTTTCTATTAGGCAGGGATCATTTTTGTAGTTTTTAAAAATACGGACCATTTCTACAAAAAACCTGCACAGGGACCTTTTCTGTAAATTATGTGGACAGTTTTTTATAATTTATTTTCTACACAAGGACCAAACCTGCCAACGTCCGAAAGTCTTAAGACACATGGACCATTTCTGCAAGTTACAAGGACAGATTTTGTAATTTATTTTCAACACAAGGACCAAACCTGCCAACATACGAAAGTCTTAAACACATGGATCATTTCTGTAAAGAAAATTCTGCACGAGGACCTTTTCAGTAAATTACAGGGATAGTTTCTGTAATTTTTTTTTCTACATAGGGACTAAACCTACCAACATATGAAACTCTTGTGGTCAAAATCTCAAACCTAAAAATATACTCAATTCAAATTAGTATATCCCATATTATAATTATATTTTATTTTTTTTTTCTAGAAAATTGGGGAGGCTGAATTGGAAAAGGAGAAGGATGTGGATTATCTGTCTTCTATTGAGGTAATTCATAATCTTCTTTTATATAATGAAACACACACACACACACACATACACACACAAACACACACAGTGACACGTGTTTCTTGCTTATTACTTGTGATAATGGAAGGGGATTTTGTGAATAGGTGTTGATTGTTGATCATTCAGATATTATAGCGATGCAGGTAAATTATCTGAATAAAGTTTCTATTAAATTATTTTTTTTTTCTTTTGATTAATATTTTTAATTAAAATTTCTTTTCCAGAATTGGTCCCATGTGAATACTGTTGTTGAGCAGTTGAATCGCATTCCATCAAAGCAGCATGGAACTGATATAATGCGAATAAGACCATGGTATTTAGAGAACTTAATTCTCTTTCTCCCCTTATTTGCTAAAATTACCAAAATACCCATGCTTCTTCCCTTATTTGCTAAAATTACCAAAATACCCATTATAGGTACCTTGATGGACAAGCTAGGTTTTATAGGCAAACAATTGTGCTAGGAACTCATGTAAATCCAGGTAAAATCTGTTGAGTGTTATTTATTTATTTATTTTATTGTATAATATTATGGCATTTAAAATTATCTTCTTTTATATTTCCTTAGATATCAACGCGATGTTCAACAACCATTGCCTCAACTACAAAGGAAAGGTGAGCAAATATTTTTCGAAGTCTTTATTTTGATTTTCATCTTATAAATAATAAATGATGGATATATTTATTTTCTCAATATAAAGTTGTGTAAAAATTAAAATTATTTGTTAGGTGAAACTTTCATGTGAGCACAAAGGTGTTCTTCCAAAAGTTTTGCTTCAAGTGAGACAGGTTTGTATTTTTTTTATAAACTCTCTTCAAATCTTTATCCTATTTATTTTTATTTTATTTATCAAAGGTGTACTTTTTTACCAAAAATATTTATATTTATTTGTATTGACCATTTTAACATTCAGATCTACGAGCGTATTGATACCGAATCAATAGCGGATGCTGATGACTCCCGCCTTGAATACTTCAAGAAAAAGGTTTTATTTATTTTTTCTTTTTAAAAAAAAAACAATGTGTGCAAAAGACTTAAACGCCCTCCTCGTCATCACATTTGACAATTTTCATGTTTCTTGTTTTGTAGGTGTTCCCAAAGATTAAAGATTCTGTTCAGGTATTATAATTATGGGCTAAATGCTTATTATACAATTACATTTCTTGCATTCAGCTCTTATTTTATTTTAATAAAAAATAAAGAAAAGTAAAATGTTTTTATAATGTGCAGGGTGGAGTTATGATATTTATTAGTTCTTACTTTGAGTTTGTTCGTGTACGAAACTTCTTGAAGTCTCAAGATGCATCCATGTGTCTGCTTGGAGAGTGAGAATTTATTTATTTATTTTTTATTTTTTTTAAATCATAAAATTGTTATAAAGTATTTAATCATTTTATGACATTTTAGGTATACAGAACAAAGTGATATATCACGTGCACGAGTTTGGTTCTTTCAAGGAAAACGGAAGATTATGTTGTACACTGAAAGAGCCCATTTTTACCACAGATATAAAGTAAATTAAATTAACCTCCTTTTTTATAAACCCAATTTCAATAAAAACCATTATATTTTTTTGTTTAACCAAATAACCATTGAATTAATTTCTAACTTATGCTGTATTAAAAAACAGATTCGTGGAATTCAGAATTTAATAATTTATTCACTTCCGGAGCGGAAAGAGATTTACCCCGAGGCATGTTTTTCTAACCCTAATTTTCTGTTTAATTTACAAAAATACCCTCTTTTGTAGTTTTTTTTTTTTTTTTTTTTATAATGTGTTTTTTTTTGTTGATGCAGATTGTGAATATGCTTGAAGGATCACATAGCATGAACTGTACAGTGCTATTCTCACGCTTTGATCTTCTTCGGGTAACCATATTTACTATACCTTTTTTCCCCATTTTTTAAAATCTTTTTAAATTATTTTTTAAATTTTTTGTTCAGCTGGAGAGGATTGTGGGGACCACCCCGGCAAAAAGAATGGTGACGTCAGATAAGCGTATATTCACTTTCTGTTAGAAATATAGCCTCCTTCAACAATAGAAGATAACTCAAAAAATTTAACTTATTATATATCATTCTTTGTTGAGAACAAAAATTGCACCATTGAACTTGCTGGATTTTTTGCTTTCTTTGTTGTGACAATATAGCATTTCTAATCTTGTTTAATGCATTGATTATTAGTTTTATTTAAAAAAAGAAAAAAGAAAAAAGAGGATTATGGTAAAAGATCGTACATAATCGAAGTGGTTTTTGTATTTGTCAAGATAAACATCAAAATGGCACATGCGTGGTGAAACAAACAATTCGAATGTATTTCATCATTTTGCCAAGTTAGTTGGATCTATCCAATGAGCTATTAAACAAATATAGGATTATGGTAAATCCTTCTTGCATATGGCTCCCTAAACATTCCACGTTCATGCCTCATGGCCATGAGAAACACATATAAAGCACACAAGAAGACTATTTTTGGTAAATTGTTGCTAAAGAATAGTTAAACAACACACTAAAACTTGTAATTCATCTATTTACATTCTACATCTATTTACATTCTATTATGCATAATCCTTCTAACCCAATCCTTATAAACCCGACGCCTCAATTTCTGCATGTCATAAAATTAAACAAAAGAAAAAAAATCATCATTTATCAATCTTTATTGTCAAATTTATCTATCAAGACCATAAAGAATCTAAATAGTTAAATAGTTCAGATGGTTGATGAATTGGACAACATATAACACCTTAATTTCTTTCAAGAAATCTAGATGATTCTTTTTTTCAAGCTTTCAGTGGGAAAGATTTTGTAATTAATTTCCAATATGTACATGGTCTTGTGTTACATGATTAATGGAACTTTTGATCTTTCAATGGATGTCTATGTGTAATCTCAATTATTTTTAACATTATTGTTAATTCTAGGTACCCCAACCTATTATGCCATAAACTAAATGTCCTAAGATGATAATGTTTTTCTTTAACTATCATATATATATATATATATATATATATATATATATATATATATATATATATATATATATATATATATAACTGAATCAAATATGATACTTAAAGAAAAACATTGTGATCCTAAGACATTTAACCCATGGTATATATATATATATATATATATATATATATATATATATATATATATATATATATATATATATATATATATAACTAGAATCAAGTATTGGTAGCCTCTATAGCAAATGGTTCTTATCTATATTATATGTATATTTCTTATTTTATAGGGTAATAGTTTGAATGTCATCCATTTAGATACATGTTAGTGAAACTTAAATAGTTTCTATTTGACTTTGGAGATAATAAAACATTTTCTATGCAAAAGTTTGTACCATTTAGTAATGTAAAATGAGTTTTCAGCTCCTTCTACCAACTTTGTAGGACCTGATATTATATGTACGATTGATTTTGTTGGTATTAATTTTGAAAAGTATTTCTTAGATATTAGAATAATTTGTGTGGTACCACTGTTGACATACAAACATCTCCAACATTTTCTTATTATTATGCTCAAAGTTGAACTGATATTGAACTTCACATATGAAGGAAATATGAGCCTATAAACATAATTAGTTATTATAAAGTTCATTTATTAGGAAAGATAAAAATAAAGGAAAAAACAACATAAATCTTTAGTCTGTGTTTTCATGTAATGCCTAAAAATGGAGAACATTTAGCTTAGTAAATTCAACATCATCAATGATGTTTACTTCTTATCACTTTTCTTTAATGAATTCTTGACAAAGTTGAAAAAAAATGTACAGGTGTGTGACATGTCTTTGACCAATGACCTATGTCATCATATCTATAACAGGAACCATCGGAGTTTATATGATCCCAACATTATGTCTT